GATCTTCATTCTGTTGTTTGTGTGTGTGATCAGAGTTTGATTGAAACGTATAAATGATTTGTTGTGTCTTATTAAAAGCCAAGTGGGACTCACAATGAACTACCAACATTAACTACATGCATCACAATCAGTCACAACCTGTTCCGGATTTTTCTCAAAGGTTTTTGATCTTTCAAAAAGATGTAAAAACTGATTCATGTGAACTTAGAACATGACACGAAATTCAAAAGGTTTCCATTACCAACCAACACCGTGAAACTGAAACCTTTTCTTCCTTGTCCATTCAATCATTGCCTCTTTTACTGTGCAGGAATCAGTCCACGCAACCTCAATTTTCCTAGAATAATTTATGCATCAAAATGACAAACATATTATATATATGATATTTGAATACGTGTATTTATACATAAGTTTATTGATGGTTGAAACTTATTAGAAAACAAAAGTCATTTACCATACAATAGCAGGTGAAGTTAAAGTTGATAATGACTGGTTATAAAATTCAGCAAATGCAACCTCCAATAAGCATAAATGTAGAAAAAGGTACTCATTTGTCATCATAGCTGAGAAGAGATTGAATGATATGAGTCAAACAATTGGTCCAAGTGATGAACCAACGACCAAACCGAATACAAAGTACCAAGATGAATTGGGTTGACCAATTCTTGTGTTATAGTTTCTATGGGCTTTAGTATTAGGCCCATTAGGATCAATATGGAAAGAAAATGAAAAAAAATGAGCGGCGAATTTGAGATTCTCCCGCTCCTCGAAAATTTTGAAATTTGATCTCTCTTTCCTTTTTTTTTATCGCAGAGTGACAAATCAAAACGATTTCCAAAAAGATTTTATTTTCCTTTATCTACTCTTCTTCGTCTCACGATTCCTCTTCTCTCGTTTTCCTCCGATGACTGGAAAAACGAAAACCATGAAGCGGGCTGAACCCGACCCGGATCCATGCTTTCTCGGTAATCCCATCTCCGACGCCGAAGCCATGACTAAATGGCCGCTTCGCCAAAGATCTTCAAAGGCGAGGAAAACTGTGACACTGGAAACTCCCACCGATGGGTAAATGGGTTT